TTAGCCATTTGCAGCAATTTTTACTTTAGTTATTTTTATGCTTCTTTTAGCTTTTACCTTGTGTTGTGCTTTTTACCTTTAAYTACTCAGTTTTAGCTTCTACATAAATTTTGTCATTCTGCTCTTAGCATTCACACTCCAGTTTTGCAGAAAATGTAATTGTAATGTAATGTAAATGTAAATATAAAAAAGTATTTTAAACTTTTTATTTTGATTTTGCATATAATTAAAAACAATAATAAAATCAATAATAATAATCATACCAATGATACTAATAGACATAGTGATCTTTTCTATTTTTCGTAGTAACATTATGGATAATTATATAATCACAAAGGTCTGCAGGGACAAAAGAATAATATATTTTTTTATTACCGTGTCCTTTGACATAGTCAGCCCAAAATTGTTTCTGCAAATGAAAAAAAAGATGACTCAGTGAGGTTCTTTTTGAGTCAGTCATTTGTTAAATACAGTTCTGAGCAAAGATTTGAGTTTTTTTTTAAGTGGATCAGTTGTTTTTTTAGGTTTTCTGAAGGCCTGTCATTGGCTGCTATTAGTCAGGGCAGTTCCAATGTCTCCCAGAATAATGTCTGTCTGTGTRCAGACACCAGGGAACATATGCACTGGGGAACATAGGCACTGGAGACCATCAGTAAAGCGGAACATAGGTAAAGGGGAACATAGATTTCTTGGTACTGGGAAATGTAAGTACTGGGGAACACAGGTAAAGGGGAACAAAAATGCCAGGGAATATAGGTACTGAGGAACCTGGATACTAGAGAACATTATGCTAGTATTCTAGTATCCTCTGTATACTAGAGATACAAAGGCAACATAGGTCCTGGGGAAAATAGGTATTGGAAACCAGGTACTGGGGAACATGGGTAAAGTGGAACAAAAGTAGAGGAGAATATAGGTGCTAGAGAACGGAGGTAATGGGAAACAAAGATAATGGTGAACATAGGTACTGAGGAACTTAGGTAATGGGGAACAAAGGTACTGAGAACATAAGTAGCAGGGAACATAGGTACTGGGGAATATAGGTAAAGGGGAACAAGAGGACAGGAGACAACGGGTGTCTGCTCGATTTTATCGGACGATACGCACAAAACCAGCACAGTACACCTGAACAGTCAGGTCCTGATCAAAAATTCAAAAATTAGATCCAATCTGACATCTTCTGTTTCAAATATCTA